CTGAAAAATGAATGGCATAATACCTGATGCATGAATATATAGAAAAATGTTTTGCCAGTGATTGGTGTGGCGTCGGGTGTCGGCGCTATTGATGACTGTTGTTGGCCTGAATGCAAATCACCGGTTTGTATGAGAGGCGATACGACTAATGAATCGCTGAGTATATCTGCCATTGACTCCAGAATATTAATGGGCTGTTCCACAGCTCGCGACCAATCCGTGTATTCATTGATTAGTGTTAGGAATATTGACTGAAATGCACAGAATATACAGAATCCATGTTATGGTCACAATTGAATATAGCGTGCATTTGGTATAGAATTTAAGAGAATAATTAAATTTTATATTAATTTTTAAATATTTTTAAAAGTCATATATTTATCATGAATACCAAAACAACTTTGCCATACTTTTGTGAAAGGCAATAATTTGACGACAAATATTCATGAAAAGTGAAAATTTTTACTCGTCTCTTGGAAGTGAATAAATATTTTTTGGGCTTAAAAAATGTTATAAATTTTTATTTTTTATTGAATATCTTTCTTAAAAATCTATTTATGCGACGATAAAAAGAAATTTATTTAAAGAATTCTTATGAGAAATTCCATGAATTTTGTTATGTTTTATGTTATATTAGGTATAAATAAAAGTATTACAGAATTGGAGCGCAAATACATGTAAAGTCATATAACTCTTTGATTTAAATGTATGCAAATATTTTAAATTTAATATGAAACTATAGCTCAAAACTTATGATTAATATTGATTTTTGTACTATTTTTATTTTTGGAGTATAAAATATTAGTTAAAAACCTTAAACTTAATTATTTCATGATTGGCTAAATATTTTGAAAACTACTTTTTCTCGTTAAAATTCTATGATCTTGCTCATAAACACTAATCAATAAGTTAAGATTAATTTTAAAATATTAATCAAGCTCCGAAATCAAGTAATAATTTAGTATATTTTTGTTAAATTATAAAAATCTAGTGGTTTATTGAAAAACTTGTAAACATTTGCTAACAGTTAAAATAAAATTAGATAAAAGAAATAATTTTATTGCTGAAATGTAATGACTTATTTAATAATAAATCAGATTATTTATTAATTGCTCCATTAGGTTAATACTAATTCTAAACTAATAAAATATTAATTTACGCCAATAATGGTATTTCAGATTTAATTGATTCAGAGAATAGTCAATTATTTAGGGGTTGTTAGTGTAGGTAGTGTCAATACCTGTAAATTTTATTTAAATAGTTTATTTTGCTTTAACACAGTTTAATAATTAAAATATAAACAGTGTAGTTTGTAAACATAAAGGTCTTATTCAAACATAGGCTTATCAATATTTAAGTAAATCAAACTACGAGTAAAACAATATTTAAATGGCAACAATTCATATTCAGTATAATTCTTATGTTTGGAATAATTAATTACTTTAAATGAGTAAATTTAATGACTAAAATTGCATTCATAGCATAATCTGAATGATTGATGGCATACCTGTTGATGAAAATCAAAAAGATTTCTGATAAGAGTCCTAAGGATGCGATCCCTTCGCGGGTAATCGATTCCGAGTCGCTCCTCATTGGCGGCGAAAATACAGGGGCTCTCGAGTCGGTTCACACCAAACAGCAAATCGTATTGAGTGCCCACATGGAGGTGCACTTTATTGAGCTTATTGGTGGTGGTGGCACCGGGCGATTGGTATCTTCTCGGGTCAGAAGGCACTACAATTGAGTCGATGATTGGGCCGAATGCTGTCAAATGGTCCGGAATTTTAAGGTCTACTCTCAATATATCGTCAATTTTTCTCTTGCGAAGGCAGTCTACTATTGATTCCTATGAAACAAATGGTTTAAAATTGTATTTCAATTTGTATTATATTTCGTGAGAATGTATTCAATTGATTGGCAACTCTTACATGTATTGGACAGTTGAGCGTTTGAGCTAATGTTTTGGCATAAATGTCAGTATCTCTGGCTATAGCCCATGGACTGAGTGCTGAACCACTCATTAGTATCACTCGTGAGAAAAGGCCTGCGAAATGGGATTCATAATTAAATATTAAAAACCAACAACAATGTTTAATAATAATTTAAATAAAGTTTTCAGTCATTTTTCACAAACATTTTTACGCCACTACTACTGCGTTTATCAAAACGATTGCATAGTTTTGAAAGTATTTATTCAAATATATAGGCGAATCTAAAATTGATTTATTGTTTGGCAGACAAAAGCCATGAATGATTCAGAAAATGATGAATAATTTTTATATTATTTTGTGCCTCAAAATGATGAACACATAGACTGCCGGCTATGAACATAATCTGAATGAAAATTGAGTACAACTTTTATGAGTCCATATAATTCCACTTTCATATCATAATAGGGAGAAAAACTGCTGTCAATAATGAGATTATTTAATACATGAATACATATCAGCCGTTCAACTCAACCAAAAGCTCCTCATTTGTTAGGATTAACTAAAAATTTTGATATATTTTTATTTTAAATAATTTTAAGCCACCGGAAAATGCTTAATATATGAGTTAATAAGACTTTCATGGATAACGAGTTGATCTAAACTCATAAACTATACCCAATTAAATAATGAGCGCGTACCTTTAGCCATGGGTGATATCATTAGTAGGTGGGCACAGGCAGCCCCATATCCATAGCCAATAATTGTGACATTATCTGATTGGCCGCCAAATTCACCAATATTTTCCTGAATCCAGTGCAGAGCCGCCACCTGATCCATAAGGCCGTAGTTGCCTCGAACCACACCGTCCACCAGCACCGGTAGAAAACCTGATCCCAGTAATTTAATAATTAACATCTTATAGCTTATTCAATAAGCAAAATTATTTTATTAGGTTATATATTAGTAAACAAATCTAAATAATTATCTCAAGAATTTGATTCAGATTTTTTATATGAATGTTTAGTTATACAGTATAAAGCAATGTTAGTCTTAATAAATATATTTAATTCAAAATATATTTATTTTGATATATTTGTTGATTGAATAATAATAGACAAATAGTGTAGTGTTTTTACTACAATCATTTCATATATGGTATGAGAATTGGGTTTATTAAACAGTGTGTTTGCTAATGCATGTGATCCTCAAATCAAACAACAAATAGTAGACTAAACTATAGCCCCTCAGCAGACATTTCACTATATTATGTGTTATAACAGAAAAAATGTTATAATTCTGCGGACATTCTTTCAGATAAATATCATATACTGGTGAGAATGTAGTCATAATTTTATACGATCATTAATATTAATGTTTTTGTCCGTATTATTAGCGATAGACATATATGTAACAACAAAACAATTTGTTGAGTTCTCAAATATTCTGTATATTCTGTATATTCCGTACAGAATATATACACAGATATATCTCAATGAAGTGGATGTGTTTTCTGAGTAGAAGTATGTGTTGGGGTCTCTCTCTCTCTCTCTCTCTCGCTCTCTCTCTCTCTCTCTCTCTGGCTGTCTATCGGCGACACATTATTATTATTAGCGTTTTTGAGATAAAATACCACTCTTTGGGAGTAAGTGAGAGAAAGTCTTCCGCCACTTCATTTCTGGTGATGACATTAGAGAGGAATAGATTAATGGCGTTATAAATATTATTTGTGTCACATTTGGCGCACTATTTCATACTTCTCTCTATACTATAGGCAGATAGAGAGTGGAGAAAAAGTGGCGGAAACACGGTTTTGGACCTAAAAAACATTTTGCCAATAAATTGTGTGCTCACTATAACTTGTGAAAAATTATTTGCGAATTAAATGAATATTTTTTTTAAAGACAAATATCTTTTGAACACGAAATGCGCTCATATCATAACCCAATTGATGGTTACGTCACAGTTATCTATATAATATTAAAGTGTTATATGTGAGTGTCTGAGATATAATATTTTCTGAGCACACATTTGTGCCAAAGCTATCCAAGCTATCTGTCCATAGATGAGTCCAATTTGTAATTTTTGGGATCAATTGTGCGTTGGATTCGGTGCTCAAATTGATTTTCACCATCGCTTACAAGAATTCAATCATTAAATGCCATACAAGCGATACACAGAATATACAGTTCCCTACAGTTCCCTCTCATCAGATATATTATCTCTAATATCTTTTAGAATATTATTTTGATTTAAAACTTTTTTCTATTACTTATTGAAAAATTGCTGTTCACTTAGCAAGCTATTTATAACACCATTTCATTGTCCGCATTGGCGTTTGTATTAGAGATTGACTTTTAGATTGAATTTTTGTCATCAAAGCAAATGTTTTACCATAAAACACAACTTTCCTTTTTATTTACACATTATTTATAGAAGTAATTTAAATAAATCTTAACGTTAATTAGATTTAATTTATTGACGTAATGCTCATTAGATTTATTTTTAGGAAAGCTTCAGATCTAAATAAATATCGCGACTAATAATTCATAGAAAGTATACTGGTGATAAAGTTGGACTAATATTTATTTTCAGATTTGTCTAATTTATGCGTGACTTTCTCTAAAAATGTAAAATTAATGAAAACCCATTTTCTGACACAAATGCTCTACTCCTCCATTCTCTACATATATTGTGTTTATAACGAATTGATGCAAACTTTTTGTATAACAGATGTTGTCTGCCATTGATTTTGACATGAATTCATGAGATCTACAAAAATAAATGTTAGAAAACTTCTTCTCTCTTCACAGTCGATGGGAAAGAGAGAAAAGAGAGAGAAGAGAGAGAACACCAAAGATTAGACTCAATTCATGGCAATTTCGCAACGAATAGATAGTCTTAAAGCCCAACAAAAACAGCATTTGCTGTGAAAATGATTGCAAAAAAAGCAAAAACTATGAGTGAATTAAACCTATTTTACTCGGAAAAAACGAATTGCTTGAATGCACTTAATTTGGGTATAAATTTATATTTGTATATAATTTTATTACTGTGATATACTGTACTTGCATTCAAAAATGGGATGTTTGAGCTTTTTAAAATGAGATTTTCCATGTAATCGATTGTGTTTTGTGGGGTTTAAATGACATACTCCATCTAATTTAATTAAACCCAAGACATATTTGGGATGAAAATTCAAATTTATTTAAGAAATATGAAATGTGTGCTCTCTTTTGCTAAATATATTTATCATAATATTCATAACGAGTAATATTACAGCAAGGAAATAAACAAGAGTTATTATAAATTCAAAATTACTAATAAATTCAGTTTTATATGAATGTGATTAAAATTAGAGTTACATTTATTTATGTAAATTATACCCTAAATATACCTACAGAGTATATAAGTTAGTACTGTACTGTATTATGACATCTATTTAAATGCTTAGTATGTAAAACATTTTAGTTATGTTTTATAAATCAACATAATTTAGTGACAAATAAGTGGGAACTCATACCTAATATCCCCAACCGATAGTTGAGAGTAACGACGAGGACGTGTCCAAAACTGGACAAAATGCTGCCGTCGTATACATTGCCTGAATTCCAGTCATAGGACTCGCCGTGAATGAAGACAACGACCGGCACTTTCTTCCCATTTAGAGATGTCTGTGAACCTGGTATTCATAAAAGAAACAATATAAATTAGTTAAAAGATACTTTTTACTTTATTTAAGTAAACATGTTTAATTTATTTAAATATAAACTATGAGCAAAAATATCATATACAATCCTTAGAGAGAGAGAGAGAGAGAGAGAGAGAGAGAGAGAGAGTCTTAAATATCCAGTTCGTAAGAATACATCAAAATGTGCTTCATTTCTATCATTTCGTTAAATTTAAAATTTTAATTTAACACAAATAGCCTCAAGTTATTTGGAAAATATAGCAAAAAGAATACAGAATACAGTTGTCGACCATTAACTCAATGATGTTTACAGAATTAGGGATTTCCTTAGTATTTGATGTCAAACATTATGAATATTATATAAATTTGTTCATTTAATTATTTCAACGCGAAAAACAAAATAGAAATTTTGAAATTTCATTTTAAAATTAAATATTTAGATAAACTAATAAAACATGTCATTTTCATTTAATTAACTACAATAAGCTTTGTCATACTTTAAGTGCAACTGTACAATATTAAATTCATTCATCAATCGCAATAAAATCAATGATAAAGTGATTGGGACTAAAAGTTTTGGTAATTAAATAAAAGATAAAAAAGTCCATTTGATAAGTGATGTCAATCTAATCATTGGAAAAAGAAAAATCAATTGAAGGGTCGGACACTATGGCAAGGGATGGAATGAAAGGAAAATATGGACACAACGATAAAAAACTAAAACAATTTATCAATTGGTGACAAAAATAGCGATATTTTAAATGATTTATTAAGTCTTATTCTCTGTATTCAGTCATCCAATAGTTGACTCATTTATGCTGCGAATCCTTAAGCCTTATAACACATAAGAAACGCGAGAGAGAGAGAGAGAGAGAGAGAGAGAGAGAGAGAGAGCTTATGTCGAGGGCAAAGAATATTCTAGGGGCACAAAAACTATACAGCTCAGTTATGTGAACTTTTGAAAACGAAGTGATATTTTTATTGGTGGCCAAAGCCTTGTAATGTAGGGAATGGCTATTGTTGTCCACTATTTTCTCAGTTATGTTTCCATCAAAAACCTGTCGTAAAGAATGATAAACTACACAATGAAAAGGAAAAAGTTTTTTCCAATTTTTTTCTCTGTCTCGTTGTCTCTCTCTTAAAATCTAAACTCAACGAAATAAGTATCAGTTTTCTGAAAAGTTTTACAACAAAATACTCAATACACAGATTTGTATGTGTTTTCTCCTTTTTAAAGATAATATTTTTATAACAATTTGTTTTGTCGGATAGAAATTAAACTATTTTTGTTGCCATGTGTTAACGACTTAATCAATTCAAGTAAGACTTTGCGATCTTTTGGAGATCGCGGAGTAAAAGTGGAGATAATTTTTATTTCTTATCTGTAGTATTGATTGCAATTAATTTTAACTTAAGTTTTATGTTTACTGTATGTATGGCAACAAAAATATTGGAAAATAAGTGCATAAATTTCAAGTATTAATTAAATCAATTAATTATCATGGGCATATATCTTATTTCGTTAAACAGATTATACATAAAAGAATTTCATTTTAATTAGTTTTATTTGATATAATAATCCAATAGATATGAGATATTAAAATATAAACTTATATTTTTGAGTAAAGTATAAATGAGATTATTTTCTTAGCTATTAGCGTAACATTCATATTCTTTAAGACAATATGTTATATAATAATTACATAAAAATATTTTTTTTGTTTTACCGGTATATAGTGTAACCGTAAAAAAATTCAATGCAATATTCTCCGGCGCCTGTAGTTTTAAATTATGTCTTTACTTGTCTAATGAGCTTCTTAACTAAAAGTTGTATTTTTGTTTTTATTTTTACACAAAATTTTAATACAAGTTTTATTTTAAAGATTTACAATATATATGGCTAACAAGAATGTGTTATAAAGAGACTCAAAGTATGTTAAGATAAGAAAATGGCAAAAATTCTTTCACTATTAAAAATAGCTTAATATCACTGTTTGAAGACATTCATCAAAAAAGTTTTTATTTTTTATTGAATTTATATATTTGTAAAAATGATTAATGATACGACATATTAAAAATGCAATAAAAACAAATGATTATATGAACAAGTGACTATTCTTTAAATGAAAATAATTCATATGAAAAAGTTGGCAAAAGTTTTGCGGCAAATGAATTGAATTTCAAATAAGTTTTAATATTAACTGTTTTAATAGATTGTATCACATTTCTACAATTTTACATTTTGAATTAATATTAAAATATTTATCCATTTGTTGTAAAATATACGGAATGGCATGTCAGTGAAATCAATTACATCGACAATAAGTCTAATTTGTTGCCAAAAATATTGACGTTTATTAAGAAAGATTTTTCCGGTGTCTCGAAGATTGTAAGCGATACGAGCTATCATTCAAATGGTATTGTCTTACACGTCATCTCATGTTTCCTTTGGACATAAACTCATTAAAATATGGCTTCAAATGACACTATATT